TCTTTTGTTAATCCTTAAATTTACTCAGTGTTTCTTTCATCCAAGATGGAAGGAAAATCTCCCAGTGTAGTACAATTTGTCCTTCAGAAAGTTCTTAGCTCCAAAGAAATCAGTACTTGCTAAAGTAATTAAGAGAGGAAGTAGATGAACTTGGTGCCTGTTTGAAAGGCACTGAGTATTGCTTAGGAAGATGAATATTCTCTGAATATTCCCAATGAATATTGTTAGCAATCTCTCCGCAGAGAGATCTGTATGGAGTCAAACATGGGCAATCTTGGACTTTGCTTTAATCTAGAGAAATGTTCTGAAGAGCTGACCCTTGTAATAACTCCTATTTCAGCAACATCAACTTTGGAAAAGGCAGAATAGTGCTCAGGCCGTCATGTTATGCAAAAGTCATTTGTCCATCCTTTTCTGGACAGCTAACCCAATGTTCATATATGACAAGAAAGTAAGTACACATGGAAATGGCAGATAATTGAATAGTAAATATCAATTTTTCTAAAACCTATGGTTGAAAATAAATGTATACACAATAACAATATTAGTGAATGTGTGTGACTGGGGAATGTCCTTTAGGTTTTAATCCCTCTCCTCCCAAATAGATTCAGAATACATTTTATATAGGCAGAAACTAGGAGAATCTTACAGTAGTTAAGTTCTAAAACTAGTAGGTTCATAAAAGATAGCTCAGCTCCTCTAGAATTATTATCTATTGAAAAACAAAACTCCAGGATAAGGAACTAAAGAGATATTCAGGAAATAAAATTAAATTTTACCTATTTTAGTTTCAATATTCCATTTGATCTTTCTGCTTGTCCTACTGCCAAATGTAGGGTATTACACCCTAAATTGAAACATAAGTACATACCAGGCACAATATTCAAAAATAATCATGATTACAGTAAAGAGAAAATGCTGCTGTGATAATACACCTTAACAGCCTTGAAAGTGGCATTTTACCTAGGTTTTAGATGTGTGTGTCTCTCTCTCATGGGTTTTAACTGGAGTTGCACTCTAAAAAAAATCAGAATTCCTGCCTTATCACAAAGTCTATCAAAGATGAATCAGAGAATAGTCCAGCTGATTGTAATGAAACTTCCTTAAATGAGCCTGGGCAGTGTGTCTGTCATTTTCACATGGTCATTTCCCAGGCAGCATACTGTAAGGCTCCACTCCTGTTATATGAATCTGGGAGTTAATCAAGTTGTAGTCAGTATATCATCAGTATACAGTATACCTTGGTAGATATATGTACCATTGCCCTGCACTATAATAATTAGGAAGGACTAATAGACCTTTGGTATTATTCAGGTTTTAGTTTCGCTCATGCCATCATAAAAAGCAATCAAAGCAGTTCTTGAAATCACACTTGGGTTTCTTAAATAAAATTTTACAAGAAGAAAAATGCCTGTTCGTGTATGCTTTATTCCCTACCTTTCTTTAGATTTTCAAGGAAGTTTCCAAAGAAATGTAACATTAAACCATTAAAACAAAAGCTTAAAATGTGTTATCAAGATGATACTAAGCATCACTAGAATTAACTGATTATGTGCCGTCAATGTCAGTTCTTAGTGACCACATGGAAAGTTTTTCTCCATGATGATCTTTCTCTAACCTGGTCTTCTGAGTTTTCCAACAGTTCACTCACTGGCACTGTAATTGCATCCATCCAGCTTCCAGCTGGTCATCCTCTTCTTTTCTCCCACTTTCCCAACATTAAAAACCTTCTCCAGGGAGCCAGTAGAATGAAAGCAAAATGTAAAAAGCATATTCCAGTGGAATGAAAACCTTAGGAAAAGGTTTAAAAGATCTTTGCCAGCTGCTGGAAGAACATTAAAGAAAGTGCCAAGGAAGCCTGCTGTCAGCCTTGGAAGCCATATTTTAATTGGAAGCTTTCAGGCTGGCACATTTAGTGCCTGGAAATTTGGGAGCGGGATTTCATAGAGGGATAGAAGATTAAAACTTTCTTTCATGGAAAGTCAAGGCCATGTTACGCTGCACCTGGAGAGGAGTGTCTGGAGGAAAGTCTCCAGTTTGATTGGACCATGTGATGGACTGGTGGGTGCAGGGGAGGGATTTTGATTTTTTGGGGGAAAGGGAAAACCCAGAACTCTCAAATTCAGGTTTTCCCAGATGTGCCAATATGACAACTCTAATAAAATTGAATTTTGAGAAAATGCCTGTTTCTTTATTGGTTTAGAGTTTGTTAGTTGGAACGCTGACACCTGCCATGATGAGAATCTTACGTGCCATTTCTCCTGCAACCATCCATCTCTGGCAAATGGTAGAGGTACCCAGAGAAATATTTCTATTGAAGATAGTTCAGCTGTGGAATTTGCTGCCATTGGTGATGGCAATCAATTTAGAATAGACGGCTTTTCATGAATGGACTGGATCCATTCATGTAGGATCAGGGTCAAGGTGCCCACTCATTTTGATGGCTGCTTACTAACACTGGAAACCTAAGTAGCATGACTTGAAGGCCAGCTGCTAGGAGTGCTGTCACCATCCTGTCCATATTTGTGAATTATCTAAATGCATCCTATTGGCTACTATATTAGAAAGCTGCATTGGCTGGACTACTGTTCCAATGCAGGACTTTACTACTGCTGTCTTAAGAAAATACATATATGAGATCAAGTCGAAGACATGATGAGGTCATAGGCATCCACTACTAACTACAAGGAAATAAAAAATACAGTGATCATCTTCCATACTATATCAGTACATTACTTATAGCTTTTGCGTAATCATGTTCCACACTCTATCCCATGCATGGAGGTAATGACATCACAATGCCAGTTCCAGTAAATAGATTTAGAACTGTAATTTGGGTGATCTTCAATTTACAAACCATCATCAAAGTCAACCCTTTGCAGCAAAACTAACCAAATCTTTTAAGGTTGGAGGCATTCATAAAAAAGAGGATGAAAGGTGAGCAGAACAGTAAGTACAGTATCTATGTTACCATTACCAAAGGCTTAATATATCTTCATTCATTTTTTTAAAAAAAATCTCTTCCTCACAAAATCAACACACCAAGAAGCATATTTCTGAAAAGCAAAACATAGCAGTATTATCCTTTTTTTTAATGGACATATGACCCACAGATTGCGATGCCCACCTCTGTTATAGGTAGTGCCATATTGTTGCATAAAATAAAGGACCTAGATTTGAGGAAAATGGGTTACTATTAAAATTGGAAATCAGTCTTAGCCATGATTCATGAGAGAATTCTCACATTCTTAAGTGGCATTTTTGGGGTCCTCCACATCTACAAGCACCAAGTCAAAATCAACTTCATGTCAAAAACATACAAGGGGGGAAATTTATTTAGCTAATAGATTTGCAAAGTGATGTCATCTCATTCTGACTGACAATATGATGTACTGTAACTCTGGAAAAAAGTGATTTATTTTACTCTCTCGTATATTAGCCATCTTTGAGTGGGGCAGAGATTTGTCCCCTAATCTGGAATTCAATCAGCATGTAGGGTGTGCCTGCTAGCTCATTCCCTATTTTTCAAGAGTTAGGTGCTATTTGTGAAAAAAAAGATAAAACCAATGGTGCTCGAAATAAACAACAATGATACCAAGATGACATATACTTGCAATGATTCACAAACTCACAATGCGTAGTTGCATCCTGATGTGGAACCACAAATATCAGACTTATTCTACCCATACTCTCCATCCCCATGGGAACATGATTATGGTCAAGACAAAAGAAACTACAGAAGTGTCTGAAAGCAAAAGAGATAAGATGAAAAGGAGGAGATTTTTTTTAAAAAAATATATATAACATGCCCTTGGATAATCTGTTTAGAATTACATAGAGATTATAGTTAGGTATACAGTGGCACCTGCTCCCTTGAGACTCAGAGGGTCTCTATACTCCTGGCTCTAGAGGTCTCTATGTTCCTTCTGAAAGTCATTATGATCTGTGTGATCCATGTTGGTATTCATAGATGATAACCAGCACCTTGAATTGCACCCAGAAGTTGTCTGGTAAACAGTATAGCTTGAGAGCCAGTGCAGTCACATGGGCAAACAAAGTGCACTATTTTCATGGCTACATTCTAGTTTCTATACTAATGTAGTGTAGACTTCAGAGTGATCTTCACTCTGCACCCATGTACAGCACATTGTAATAGTCCAAATGCAAGATGACTAAGGGGCGAATCATTTTGGGAAGGAGCTACTGATACAGGAAGGGGTGTAACTGGTGGACAAGCTACAACTGTGCAATCTTATCACCTTAAGCTGCCACTTACACTGGATTGTATCAGAATGCTAACTGACAAGTAGTGTACAATTCTATCTAGTTACATAAAATTTAAAGGATTATTTTAGTCAGCAAAGTCCCGATCGGTTTTCCTGTGTGAATGATGTTCAATAATGCATAAGATTACTAGCACTGTTAAAGGAGATTAAAATAACTATTAGAGTTAGAAATACTAACATAAAATAAATTACCTTATTGGGAAAAATTGAAGAGAACAGAAGATAACAAAGTTCATTTCTGTCAAAAGTATATCTATGATACACATATTTGAGAATACATATACTCCTGAAGAGAGGTTAGAGATCATTTTGCATTGAGTGGTTTTGTTATGCTAGAATTTTGTGCTGGGCACCATTGGATTAGCCTAACAATTGGATATGCCTTTTGAAAATGAATACCATTTATACTCATGAGGACTAAAAGACTAACAGTACAGCAAAGTGGAGGCCTCAATTTATCCAAAGGTCAAGAATTATTATTAGCAGACAGTCTGGTAATGCTATCTCATGCCAACTAGATACTAGAAAAGGGGAGTATGGAAAAATGCAAATTTCTCCCAAAAGCTGCCAAATGCAACCATTTCAGTCCTTTGGGAAGAAAGTAGACATAATATGTTGCATTTTTTTCAAAGCCACACAGAGCACTTTTGATGTAGAAGATTGCAACTTTGCCCTTTGCAAAGAGCTAACTAGTGTGACACAGCAAGTAGTGACATAGAATAATAGAGTTGGAAGGGACCTTGGAGGTCTTCTAGTCTAACCCCCTGCTCGAGCAGGAGTGTCTATTTCAAAGATTAGCCTCTACCTAGCATCAAACTCAAAGCCTCCTGATTATGAGGAGGGAGCTCCACCTCTAGGTCACCGCACAGATCAAATGGAGTAACAACTGGGATCTTCTTGTGTCCACACAACACTCATCTGGGTCTCAAATGTCTATACTGGGGAAAAATATGTACAGAACATAATGAAATAACAATACAAAAACCCCTGAACTTTAGCAGTTGTTGCAGGCTTTTAAAAAGTCTATGCTGGAGATGATAGATAGATAGATAGATAGATAGATAGATAGATAGATAGATAGATAGATAGATAGATAGAT